AAAAAAAGAAAAAATATTCCATGAAAGACAAAGTTAGTTCCATGGTGTGTTTGTTTGGATCTTCAATTTCTGGGTTTATTTATTTTTATTTTTTTTAACAAAGTTAAGATCAAAACAGTGCAAGAGTATTTCCAGAACCGAACTTGCAGGACCAGAGCTTCAAGTCATTGTTTGAGAAAGAGAGAACCGTTTGCTTTTTTCAGAAAAAAGAAAAGAGACGCACAACACAGTGTGGTCCACAAATTCCGTCCTCACTAAGTCGGGGGTTGTCGCTCGGAATCGGGATGCTCTCCTTACTCTCTCTCATTGCCTTTTTACTTATTAGGTTATTGGGCTCATTTTTAGGTTCAATTTCAATGATTCGAATTGTTCACATTTTAAAATTTATTGAATATATCATACTTATAAAAAATTAAATTGATCAGATATTAGAAAGCATGTGTTCAGAAAACTATTTATTAAATTTTTTTAAAAAATAGCTTTTAATTCGATGATCCGAACACGTAGTTTCTGATATTCGATTAACTTGATATTTTACAAGTATGATATACTCAACAAATTTTAAAATGTAAATGGTTTAAATTATTGAAATTGGGCGCAAAAGTGGGCTCAATGACCCAACAAGTAAGGAGGTAAGGAGAGAGAATAAGGAGAGGACCCTACGTCTTTGTGCGGGCCCTTTTGTGTGGATGTAGTGGGATTGGAGCCTAAATTCTGAAATTTGAGAAGGAATTACATGTAAGTGGAGTTGGGGAAAAAAATTATCAATATATAGAGAAATTACATGTAAGTGGGAATAGGGAAAGGCGGGAGTTGGAAAAAAAAATTATCAACAAATCAAGGAATTACATGCAGGTGGGAGTTGGGAAAAAAAATTATTAGCACATGGAGGGGTGCAAATGACACTTGCACTATTACAGCCTTTCATTTGCATCCCACTACAGACATATTTGCACCCTCATGTGTGTAATTTTTTCTCCCAACTCCCTACTGCATATAATTCACCCTATTTTTTATGTGGATCAATCGTTTTTCTTTACAAAAATATAAAAGTTTATGATTTTAATTATTAATATTTATAATATTTATTTAATTTAAAATTTTATTTTTGTTATGATTTAATTTTTTAACATAATTATATTAACTTTTATTTTTTATGAAGATTGACGTAATCAAAACTAATTAATAAAAATGATAAGTAGATTTTAAAATTAATAAAAATAAATATACATTTTAAGTCAATATACCTTTCTGTTTAGTTGCTTATCTCTCAATATTACCACCTCCAACTTGCTTTGGATTATCAAATCCAATTCAAGCCATTACTTTGTATAGTGCTGAAATTGAAGAGGCCCAAATCCATAGTCAAGCCAATCTACCGCTAAGATGAAGCATTTCTGGTGAAGGAGACTGGATGAATATATGGAACTTTTTTCTCATTAGAAACAACTTTTTACAAACACCTGGAACCTTGAAGAAAGAGAAAATGAGAAAATCTTCCACTAGAAACAGCTCCCTTGGCTTACATTGTATTTCTGTTAAAAAAAAGGCTATTTGGATCATATATTTTGGAAAGAAATTTGGTAAAAGAAAAGAAAATGAAAATGGAGAAAAATTTTAACTTATATTTCATTTATGGTTTTTACACTTTTTTCATTTTTTCTTTTTAAATCTTTACTCAAAATTTATAATCCAAACAAAGTCTTAGAATAACTCCAACAATGTACTATTACTAATAATGAATGTTTGACAATTGACTTTTAAATTTTACTATTTTGTCTTTAAAAAAAATGTCATGCCATGTATTTTTTTATAATAAATTTACTAAAATCAATAAATTGATATTAAAATTAAATTTTATATTTTAAAAAAATATTAACCATCCTATTAAAATAATTTAAATTTAAAAGCATTCCAAATATATAAAACGCAGTCACTTGATAACTTTACTCTTATTGTCTTGACCATATATGTTCAAATTTCCATAAAATCATACGAAATCTATGATGGAATTTAAAAGTTTGAATCATGGTGACGAGCAATGTGTTTAATCTATTTGAGTGTTGTATCTCGTGATAAACTAATAAGTTGAAGTTTTTATTAATATTAATTATTAGAGTGCATTTAATTTTTAAAAATTAAAAATTTAACACATGCATTGTTAGGGTGGAGTCTCTTAAAATATGACATTTCGACACTATAGAATATTAGAATATGACATTGGCTTGATTAAAATCGCATGATCTACACACACACACAAAAAAAAAAACAAAAACAAAAACAAAAACAAAAACAAAAACAGAAGAAAGAAATGGCCTTTTACATACAATATCATCTTTTTCGTCTTTATGCAACCTTCTGTGAAATAAACTCATCAACCTTGCTAGTTTACTATTTATGATGATTTTAACAAGGAACGAATGCCACTCAAGTTTGAAAGAACCTTAGGTACAACTTTTTCAACAACGATTCATATCACTAAAAAAAAATCACTAATAGCACTAATGTATTGAGAATGTCCAAAAAAAAAAAAAAAAACAAGGCATAGGTAGTGGGCGGGGCCCACTGCCACACCATTAGTGGCGCCCACTACCACATCATTACAATTAGAACACCACTTTTAGTACTCTCAACCATTTTTCTAACTTTTTTTGGTTTCTACAGCACTAGTAAGAATAATCTTATTTGTACACTACAAAAAAAGAAAAAAAAATCTGTCTATATTATTTAAATATAAAATTCTGAACAAAAGTTAAATATTTGGATATAAATTTATGAAAAAAAATAATTATTGGGACATAAATAGTGAACGAAATATATATCTGAACAATCCATTTTTATTCAAAAGTTTATGTTCAAATATTTGACTTTTGTTCAAAAATTTATATTCGAACCACACAAATAGAGTGTATTAAGATCAGGGGCGGAACTAGGAATTTTGTTCGGGAGAGACCAACATATATGCATAAAAATACTGAATTAGTTTTGGTACATTAGTAATTTAATATAATTTCCAATATAAATGTTGTATTAAAATTATTTCACAAAAAAATTAAGGAATATTTACTGATAAATCCCATCCCATAAACAGTTGCACCAATTGGTCCCAATGTTGTTTCTATTGTTCTTAATAGTCCTATTAGTTGGGGAATATATCCCATTTGATCTTATTTTCTTTGTTTGTTAGTATTTAGTAGTCAATTATACCCTTCCATTTGCTGGCGGACGATTTTGGTGGGATTACGTGTGCACTTTTTGATATTTGAATATTTCAGATAGACATTACCATTGTGACGCTACTCCAATTAGTTTTAAGTTTTTTTTATTGATCTGTTAAGTCAAATTAATGGATAGTTTATTTTTGTATGGCCCTATTTTTAATTTTGGTAGTGTTTTGGTAGACAATTATATCTTTTTATTAATGTGACAGGTATGCTATAATACTCTAATGTGACAAGTATTAATGTGACATTTCAAAAAATTAAAAATCCCTCAGTGTATTTTTCCTAAATGTGACAACGTGGCGTGTATGATATGATACTCCAAAACTTTTACTCTAAAAAATAAAATAAAAACTCTTTAGTGTACTTTTTCCTAATGTGACAATGTGATGGGTATGATGTGACACTTCAAGAAAAATAAAAACTCTTTAGTTTACTTTTCCCTAATGTGACGACGTGGCGGATATGATGTGACACTTCAGAAAAAATAAAAACTTCTTAGTGTACTTTTCTCAAATGTAACAACGTAGCGAATATGATATGACACTCTAAAAAAATTAAAAATTCCTTAGTGTACTTTTTCCAAACGTCACATGTGACACTCCAACGTAACGGATATTATGTAACACTAAAAAAATAAAAAACAAACATAACCCAAATTCAAATGTTGTATATCTTGGATATGGCAACCCAATCGTTTGTATGTGGTCGGGTCGAGGTGTGCGGCATGTGGAATCAGCACACCAAACCCAAAACCCATAAAAAGCTTTAGTGTGCTTTCCTATTATGTGGCACCCAACACACGCGCCAAATAAGGCACTTGTGAAGCATTTGCCCATTCAACAAACTTCAATTGTGGCATGTGACCCACACGCACATCAAGCAATCCTGTTACACAAAAAAACTATTAAATATTCCCACCAGTGATATTTGTGTCTTTCCAAAACGAAAAGGACCAAACGGGGCAACAGAATTTTTATGGGACCAAATGGAATACAATTCCAACTTTTAGGATTTATAGGTAACTTTCCCAAAAATTAAATAAATCTAAAAAATAATTTTTTTAGTTTTGAACTATTAGATCTCAATATACAATCAGTTAAACCACTATTTTGTGTTATTTTATTGATTGATATAATCTAATAAATAAAACATGCAAAAATGTTTAAGACTCCTAAAACATGAAAAATGTTTAAGACTCCTAAAACATGACCTTTAAATTTATACTCAATGATGTGAATATGTTACATGTTAGTTATTTCTTTAGAAATCAATTAATTAAAACCTAACTTCTGCCATGTCATTGTGAATAAATTTAGAAGTAACATTTTAAGTTCTCTAACATTACTCATAAGAAAAGTATACATACTATTTGATTTTTAAAATTTAAAAATTAAGTGACATATATCTCTTGTATTAATAAAATTGACTCTATTAAATTGATACTATTATTTAAAATATGAAATAATTAGAGATTATTTCATTACATATTGTAAAATACTAATGAAATAAAAATTAAGTAAAATAATTCTTATAAAATTAAAAAATCATCTCATTATACATTTTATAAATATTCATAAATATGAAATTAATAATAAATTATCAAAAATCGAGGGGCCGGACCTACACAGTTCTGCATCCCGAGTAAAATATCCACTTATAAAAGCTGATAGAAGTGTTTCAAATTTTCTTTCCGATGTAGCGAAAAAAAAGAAGTGTTTCAAATCAGCAACAAAAAAAAAAGGGTTGAAAATAAGTAGACAATAATGGCTACTAATAGTTGTTTTTTATTCATAAGAAATAGAAAGTTAACTATTACAAACATTTGTTGTGCTTGTCCATGAAAACAAACCATGCATAGCTAATTATACAGAAGGCTGAAAACGTAAAAGCTTGTAAACAGTATTACAAACAAAATAATAACTTGACCACATACCCTCTTCAATCAGATAGAACCACCTTTGTCGCCAGTACGGGTTGATGTAAAGAACAGCAGCAAATCCAAACAAGAAAGTAATGTATGTTCCGACAAAACTTGCAGAAAAAGCCACTTGATCGATATCATACCATTTCCCCTTAGTTTCATCTAAGGATGTTGTTGTTGGCGAGTATGGCAAGTCAACAATGGCTGTGCAATTGTTCTCCAATGGTGGTCCACAAAGAAATGGATTTCCCTCATAACTGCTCGCTTCAAAGGTCCCAAACTGTGCCTTCCTGTCTAATATTTTACCTGATAAATTGTTGTGAGCCACAATGAACACTGCCAAAAAATTTAGATTGATTAGATCTGTTGGGATGTTTCCGCTCAAATTGTTGTAAGAAAGGTCCAAACTTTCTATTTGAGTAAGGTTTGAGAAGGTCTTCGGGATGGGTCCAATCAAGAGATTGTGAGACAAGTTCAGTGCACGAACATTACTTAACTTCCCTAGTTCAAAAGGTATTTCACCTGTTAGTTTGTTACATGACAAATCAAAGTGAAGGGACAATATGTTAAATACATTGAAACAAAGAAAATAGAGATGAACAGAATTGGATTTGATGCTGCAATGCAACCTACATTTATGAGCACCTCGATTACCAAATTGAAGGGACAATATATATATATACTAGCGTATGCCCAACACTATTTAAATTTACTTTTTTATTTGATAAAATTACAAATTTATTATAAAATTTTGGAGTTCTCACAAAACTCCTCACAAAAACTCGCTTTTGCTTATATAATATATATCTAGATAGATAGATGTGCCTAATATACATACAATTTCCATGGGCATACGTACAATATTGCTTTTGTTTATATAATTATACGAAAATTGTATGTGTATCCATAATGTTCCAGTGTATTACGAGCATACATACATTGTATGGAAATATGTATAAAATATATTAAACAAAAAGGAAAAAATAAAAAAATAAACAAATAGAGAGAAAAATAAAAACGGGAGAAAATAAAAAAAATAAAAAGAAAAAAATAGAGGAATGTTGGATCATGAGATCATGGAAGGATGGACGAGAAAAGGAAAAAGTAAGAGAGAGAGAAGCGAAAAACTAGAAAATATATTTGTAGAATATTTTTTGAGGAAATATATCTTAGCCATTGTTTTATAATTTGAACAGATCTGAGCAATCCAAATATCCTAATAGGACAAAAATATGTTGAAGATTCAAAAACCGTCCTAATTTATTAAAATATGTTGAAGATTCATATAAGGTCTAAATTTATGAAGTCTATTAGGTATTCAGTATATTTACAGGTCAACCAGTTGGTGCTTCAGGGCCAACTAAAAAAAATGATTTTAATTTTTTATGGTCTACAATGGCATTGATAGATTAGAAAAACCAGAATGGTAAACAAAAACGTAGTTTTCACAGTTTGCTTGCCAGGAGGTGGAAAATGAAATAAAGATGTGAAAAGTCACTTGGCTAAAAAATTAAGTCTTCTCAACACTCAAATGAAGCTTAAAAAATTAACTTTAAAGACCAAGAATTAAAAAAAGAAAAGAAAAAAAGAAAATACGTGCACCTTGGTTAGAAAGTGGTCATTCCGTTTGTGGTGCTCTGGTCAGTATGGAAGTTAAGGAATGATCGTATTTTCAACAATGCCCATCCCATATTCGAAGAACTCTGTGAATTGATCATAGTGAGAACTGCAATATGGCTCAAAGCTTCATGCTCAGGTTTGCCCTTTTCAGTAAATGATATTATGTTTAATCTACATCAAATCAGATTTTGCAATAGGTGATATCTGCTGGGGTCTGCTGCTAATTTTGATATTGGGTGGTATGCCTACAGTGCGTCTTTGTCACTGTTATGCTGTCTGTTATTGGTTTCGTAAGGAATCTCAACCCAAGTTAAAGATCTGTGTGGGATGGTTATTGGTTGGGGGAAGATCATTGCTGGCTTCTGATGGGTGTATTGTGGTGGCTTCTCTGTGTATTGTTCATTTTGTTGGTTACTCTCCAACTTCAAGCTTGAGGTTTCTGTTTTCTCTTCTGTTTGCTGCTGATATCTGCTAATTTTGGTCTTGGGTGGTATGCCTCCAGTGTGTCTGTGTCACTGTTATGCTGTCTGTTATTGGTGTCTTAAGGAATCTCAACCCAAGTTTAATGATCTGTGTGGATTGGTTATTGATTGGGGGAAGATCATTGCTGGCTATTGCTGTGCTTGCTACCCAGCTGCTGTTGTTGCTTCAAAAGGGTGTCTTTTTATGGGTGTATCGTGTTGGTTTTTCTTTATATTGCTCTTTTTGTTGGTTACTCTCCAACTCCTAGCTTGAGGTAGTGCTAGCAGATGATTTCATGGGCTTCCTGGTGCCAACCTCGTTGGGATCATGAGGTTCCATTGTGATGCTTTTTGCACCTTCCTCTTTATTGATGTATCCTTCATACTTTGTATGTTTTTCATCAATAAAAAATTTTTTGCTGATCAAAAAAAAAAGTGGTCCTTCCATTGCATTGTAATGTAAGGATAGAAACTTAAGTAAGGGGAGAGCACCCAAAATTCGTAAGATGTCCTTGCCGAAAGAATTACGACTTAGATCTAGATGTCCCATCTTGCCCCACTTAGATAGTAGTTCAGAATCTGAGCATATGACCAGAATCAAATGCCATTAGAAGTCAACTACAGAGAACATAGTGAACATGACAGACTTATTGCTTTTATAAGTACTTCAAAAGATTTTCACTTCATAATGGACCAAACTGAGACTGGCTTTCTTGACATAGGGTAAGGAGGAGTAATTTTGTTTTTTTTAATTATGCTTCCTGACAGTTTTTTTCCCCCAGTAGTTTTGTGTGAGTAATCTAAGGCATGTTGGAAAAGTAGGGAATTCAGCAACAAACTTAAAACAAAATAGAAGATAAGCCCAAATCCAGTTAATCAAGGAAGTTGAGTTATACCTCGCATTGTTAGGGAGCTAAGTCCACATCCAACTAATTCCAGCATCTCCAAGTTTTCGAGCGCTGTTAATTCTGCAATAAAACAAAATAGAAGATACTAGTAAGATAAGGATGGATAACATATATTATTTTTGGGAGTTATATTAAAGATAGACATGCCTCGGGCAGGAAATGAATCTCCCAAGTTAGCGTAACCAAGAAAAAGATTCTTCAGAGATATCAATCGACTTAAACATAGAATGATGCTCTTGTTGAAGTAGTTGTCACTAAGAGATAAAGTCTTCAGTTTTTTCAATCTTGACAAGGTCTCACAACCTGCAGTAAATTATTGTAAACTTATGTTCATATTTATAGAACTATGATCATATTAGTTAATGCTAATTTAACTCGACCTATCTTTCAATAAAGTTGTAAGGTTAAAAGAACGACATTAAACAAAACATATGATAATCCATCATGTTCATAGTTACCACTTTTGGTTCAGTTTTTTATTTTTAAAGATCATTGTCATTTTTTAGTTTATCCTAGAAAATCAAGTTGATTGAAGACAGTGAGTTGTCCTCCAAAAAATATATTCTGGAGAATACAAAGAGTTGAGGTAAATAATGGTTGAAGGAGAAATTAAGCTACATGGACTCCTCAAAATAAATAAAATACCAATGTCGGACACGTAACACTTGAACAAGGGTGTGAGATATATGTCTGACACTTTCCATATGACACTTCTTATTTATTCATATTTAAGACTATCACTATATGCATATATTGTTGTATATTGCTATCAAATGAGTAAAATAGCTTTTTGACACTAAAGTGGTATTTGATAACCTAATTCAACACTTAAAATTGAATATATTAAGTAAAAATCAATTAAGCTTGTTTGATAACCACAAATGGTATCACTTAAAAATTTAAGTAGCTCTTAAAATGTAAGCTAAAAATTAAGAAAATTTTAAGTGATAGGAAGCTTATTTAATTCTAACTGAATTTATAAATACTTACACATAAGTATCAAGATACACCATTATAACCTCACAACCTCCATCATCAGCACTGCCCCTGCTACCATCACCACCTTCACTGCTGTCGCTGCCACCACCACCCACCACCCTTCCACAACCAGCATCATTTCACTACCACCACAGTCGCCACTGCCACTGCCACTGCCACTGCCATTGCCACTACCACCAACACTAAAAAACTACTACAACCCTTGATATTCACAACCATTGTCACCGTTGCCATAACCACCACCACAATAAATACCATCATTACACCGCTGCCATCACTCTCTTTTTATCACTACTATGTTACCCCTTTACCATCACCACAACCACTATCTCTCTATCTACACCACCATTGTCATTGGTGCTGTAGGCACCATTGTTGTCTCCACCACCACCACTGCCAACTCACTTCTATAATATAAATTGAAAAATATAATTTAAAAATAATAAATTTTAAATTTAATATTATACATATCAAACAAATTGTTTTAATTCAGTACTTAAATTTTTATCAAATAGCATTTTAACTTAAAAAATTCAGTATTCAGTTTTTAATACTTAATTTTTAATTTTATCAAACAGCACCTAAATGTCACATAAAACATTATTTTATCTCACATAATAGATTAAACATATATAAATATGACCATATGCATTAGGTCGTGGGACCCACAACTAAAAAGACTACTCCACTAATGTCATTCAAAGTATATTTTCTACGGTAGATTCTATGATCAGTTGCGTCTGTAGAATTATTGGTGAAAATAATGATAATGATTGAGTATACTTCCAGTGACTCAACTCCCCACATTAGGAGGAGCTTTTCTACCTATCAAGATTATGGTTCAGCTCATAATATTGCTGAGGTATTATGAACCAACTCAGTGATTACAATGCAAATGGATGGGAAAGGTAGTACATTATTATTAGTAACTAACATCAAAATCTACAAATGACATATGGTTCTTCTACTCTTCTAATTGAAAACTTGAGGCAGGAATGTAAGTTTCAGGAAGTTGTAAGTTTTACCTTGGATCCCACTAATTAGATTAGAACTTAAATCCAACGTTTCCACATTCCCCAAATAAGCCAATTCTGCCCAAAAAAATATCATAATAACAATATTTAATAAATAAAGTCATGAACTTATAACATAGTAATAACAATTAACAATATAAAATAGTAAGAATGATTATGTAATTATAATTATGATAACAATTTCTTGACTAAAAAGAAAATCATGAATTTTCAGAGACAATGACCCAAAAGAAGATACCGTGAGCTGGAAATAATCCCTCAAATTTATTCCCACCAAGATTAAGTGTCTTAAGGGATGTAAGTGCACTCAAAGATGGCAAAAGGCTATTATTGAATTTGTTGTGTTCGAGATTTAGAGTCTCCAGTTTTCTCAAAATTGATAGCTTTTCAAAACCTGTATGAAAATTTTGAGAAAATAAATCATTGAGACATCATGAAAGTATGTGTCAACATGAAAAGTTTGAGGAAATAAATCATCAGCTCTTGCTAATAGATAATTCAGTTAAAATATGCAGGAATTATATACACATTATAGAGTTCGTATTCCCAATAGATCATCAACTTTAAAAGTCATCCGAATTTGTGAAAAAAAAAATTCAATTTTGATTCTAATGACGAGTACATAATTATTGAAGTTTTTTCAGATAAGAGTGAATATTGAACATGTATATTTTGTTTATTATGATTGTTTTTTTATTTTTTTAATTTTTTTTTATTATCGAATTTGATCAAATGATAGTATTTTTGCTGCCATTAGATTAATTTTATTTGATTTGCTCTAGTAATATGTATCAAGTGTTTTATTTTGCTGATGCTGTATTTAAAAGTGAGTAAACTTTTACTCTGGTTTGCCATAATAATATGTAATCTGTCTATTATTTGTTGATGCTCTGTTTTAAATTAATAGTAAAATTTTATTCCATTAAAGTTATTATTTCATTTTACTTGGTTAAAGCTATGTTTTTTTGTAACTGCTTATTAACAATTATAGTGACTATGATGATTGTGATGATGATGGTATTTCATTATTTAAATAATAATTTTTTAAAATAAAATATACTATGAATTAGAGTAAAATTTTATTGTGAGATAAAGTAAAAAGCGACATTTAGATTAAAATTTATATTATTTTAAATTTTTAAATATTAAATTAGTCACTAAGGATATTTTGATAATAGTGGTGTGTCAACTAAAATTTTTAATGCTCGTCCTTAATGCATGAAAGTTTTATTATGAGAGGGTTTTGAACAAATTCCCCATAAATCAACTAGCTGGATTTCACATATATTTGTGCAAGATACATTTTGCAATACAAATAATACAAAGCCAGTTGGATTTCACTACCTACAGAGTTATATATCAAAAGTCACTTTGTACAAATACAAAATAGAAAATTCCTTAAGTCTTAAACTTGAGTAGAAAACTTTCAATCTCATACACAGGAAGGGGAGAGAGAGAGAGAGAGAGAGACGCCGGAGGGATTAAGGGTGAGAGAGATGATCTTCAATTTTTTATGTAGAACAAGAGACTGTAGATTTTTTTAGGCAATTAGACAAACACAAATTAAGGAAACCAAATTATTGACCAAAGGGGAAATGATAATTTTTGATAATTTTTACTTGGCAACCAAGAATTTCTATTAAAGAATATAATTTCCTTGGTGATCAAGGAATATTCTAACTAGTTACTTTCTTGTATCATTCGGTCTCCAAGTATACTGCGTCCAAGACTAGTACTATTCTAGTTAATTAGTTTCTTATATTACTTGATCTCCAAGTATGCTTGATGGCCAAGACTTTATCTGGTATAAATAGTCATGTAAGCCTAAAGGCAAGGACATTCTTTATCAATATAATTTTTAAGTTACTCTATTTTCCTTGTATATTCAAGGGTCTTCGTCTACTAGAGCAATATCTAGTTTTGTGTGCATTCCACTGTGTCAAGTGATATCAGAGCAAAGATTTAGCTAGCTCAATGGCACAAGACATAGAAGTACACACAAACCCTACTAACGGTGATCGTGGGGTCAGTGCTTTGTGGGAAGCATTTGAGCGACAACGGCAGTTGAACGAGATTCGTGACATGATTGTGGGTTGATTCTCAACACCAACAATAGACCACTAGTGGTTGATCGAGCATGTGCTGAGGGAGTTGCCCAAGGCCAACCAATTAACCGAGACAAAGTTTGCGTCAGAGGAATTGCCCGAGGCCATCTTATCCAAAACAACTTGAGACGTCTAACCTGGTATCAATCAGACAGTGAATGGTTCAAGCCAGAGGTTGAAGAGGAGTACGGAGGTCGTCAACCAAGGAGACAACAATTATGAATCGATGACTATCGGTTAAAAATTGATATTTCCAAATTCAATGGAAATCAACATATTGAAGATTTCCTAGATTGGATCTCTGAAGTTGAATGGTTCTTCGAGATGATAGAGGTTTCAGAGTCAAAGATGGTGAAACTAGTTGCATACAAATTAAAGGAAGGCGTTGCAGCTTGGTGGGACCAATTACAAAGAACTAGACAATGACAAGAAAAGGACCCAATTTGGACTTGGTGATAGATGAAGCAGCTTCTCATGGACAAATAACTACTGCTGGACTATGAGCAATTTTTGTTCCAGCTTTATCAAAATTACTCACAGGGGTCCAAATTTGTGTTTGACTACACTACCTAGTTTTCTTGACTTTCAGATCGCAATAATCTAAATGAGACAGAAGGACAACGAGTAGCTAGATATCTCAATGGATTGAAAACAATTCAAGAGAATATTTGTTTGGTAGTTTTGCGGGCCATGGAGGAAGCACACAACATGGTTCTTAAAGCTGAGTTGTTGGAGCACAAGCCAACATATTTAGATTATCGATGGAAAACTATGGATTCTTCTTTTTCAACCTCTGAAAAGAAAAAAATGGTCCAAACGTTGACTGTTGCAAGCCAACCCAAGGGTGCTAATAACGGAGGCAACAACTAGGCAACAAGTTCAACAGTTAGAGAAGCTCCTAATTCTTATGTCAAGCCGACAATGAAAAAGTGCTATAGGTGTGTCAAACTTGGCCATCGTTCCAATGTCTATCCAGAGCAATGGCCAATCAACCTAGTGGAAGAAGATGATAACTATGAAGCCAGTGAGGGTGCAAAATATGATGATCATGATCCATATGATGGGGCTAAGCTCACCATAGAGGATGGAGAACGAGTCAACTGTGTGGTCCAATGAGTTTTATTCACACCAAAGACGAAGGATTTTAATCACCACCATAATATTTTTTTTCGATCATATTATTCAGTCAATTAGAAAGTATGTGATTTGTTCCAAAGAGACTGGTGGAGCACTTGAAACTACAAATTGAGCCACATCCCAATCCTTACAACATTGGTTGGATCAAGAAGGACTCGATAACGAAGGTAATTGAAATTTGTCGAGTCCCTATTTCCATTGGCAAGCATTACAAAGAAGATGTTGGTGATATGATTTATATGGATGCTAGTCATATATGTTTGGGTAGGCCTTGGCAGTTTGATGTGGATGTCATTTGTTTTTGTGGAAGACTCATAAAATTGTTGTGGTTCCTTCACCACAACAAATAATGTCCAAATCACCTAAAGTACGAGGATAGTCTTTTCTCACCGTAGCTAGTTCAGAGGTTGAGTTTGTGACAAATTTAAAGCTTCAAAAGAAATTTATGTGATGGCTGACAAAGATTTAGTAGAGGAAAGAAAGAAAAAAGTAATGGTACCAACTCCAAAGAAGGTACAGTCATTGTTTGAGGAGTTTAAAAAGCTCGCCGTTGATGAACTACCACTGATGAGGGATATCCAACATCAGATTGATTTTGTGTTGGGAGCTAATTTTCCAAACTTACTGCACTACAAGATAAACAAAAAGGAGAACGAGATTTTAAGGTAGAAGGTTGAAGAGTTACTGCAGAAGGGGCATATTCATGAAAGATGTGTCGTTCCAGCTCTTTTGACGCCAAAGAAAGATAAAATTCGGCATATATGCTATCAACAAAATCACCATCAAGTACAGATTTCCTATTCCATATTTGGATGATATGCTTGATATGATTGAAGGTTCAA